CGCTTGGGGTGCGGATGAAACCGGTTCAGGGGAGACCGAAACTGCATTCCAAGCTATCATGGATGTGAATACCTTTTGGGAAGTAAGTCAACGTGAAACGTGAGAACTGCACATGTGATTGTGGGAGAATGTAACTCTTTGTCCTTCCTTATCTTATGCAACCTAGGGTGGCTGGAACCATTATTCAAGATTTAGTGATACTTTCCAAACCTACTCTACATGAATAACTTTATTGGCCCCTCGTTTCAACCAAAACATCCCCGTTCAGACTGTACCAGAGCGGCGACTTTATCAAATGCCTTTATCTACATCCGAGAGAAGAGAGTTCGAGCGTCAATTTGCATGAAAGACAGCCGCCCCGTGGATCTGATGCAGCCCAATAGGGTCTCGTTCCCCACGACTTTACGAACCGATTGACCGTCTTCATAGTCCCAACATACCATTTCCGTGTAGGACGGCGCCTGGAAGAAGCATGTAGCCTCTTCCGCACAATCCTTCGCAGTAGACGATCAATAAGCCTCACCATTCTACCCACGTTGCCAGGCGTATGATTCTATTTCTCATCTGGGCCCTTTGCTGTAGACAACCGGCGAGTCACTGAGGACAGAGCTTTTATTGCACGGGCCGCCTCATTCCACCGAGGCCTGCTCCTCCGACACGAGTTGCTCACATGCCCAGTCCCCTGCGTCGGTATGGAAGACTGAAGAAGATCAATTTCCCGGCAGGGACCGGCCTCTGTCAGGCATAAATCTCAGTCCGTTATGCTCGCCCATTGTCCTACAACTACGCTACACAGGCTCCCCACCCAACACACAAATAGCTCCTACATGACAAAGATCTCAGGGTCACAATGGACGTGCACACAACAACCTGTCTGAGACAAGCCAACCCACATGCAGGCGTACCTAATCCACACTCTGCCGCAGGCATTCCGAGGGGCACCTGGAGAACACAGGACTTGGTCAATCTCAGTTGCCCTTTGTTCTGCAGCTGTAGCACCAGAGCG